GAAAACAGGGAGGAGAAGAACAAAACTAGGGCTAAATAAAATAGAGTTGGTGAAAGATATTAAAAGATAGAAGAAACAGGTTCTGAAGTGATAAGTTAAACAAATGTACTATTTAGGATTAGGTGCTGGTGAGAAAAGGATAGAACCTAAAACTTCAGTGGCTTTAAAGAAATACAAGATAGATAATTCAAGTATGAAAGTAGCCAGTTCAGGGAACATTGGTGCTCTGCAGTGAATGATCCAGACTTCTACTTTATGGCTTTGCAATGCACAGCTTTGGCTCCCAAGGTCATTTTGTGGCCCTGAGTAGCCACTACAGTTCCAGCTCCTGTGTCTACATCCAGTCTGGAGAAAGAATATCCCAGCTAAAAGGAGTACCAGAAAATGTCATGTATCTAGTTAAAAATGGAGGAAGAAATGAAGTAGTATTATTACGATGATTATGATTCCTTTCTTATTACAGAAGAGAAAACACTATTAGGAAACAGCTGGTAGTCTCCACCACATAAAATTGAGCCTTCGTCAAGAAATTAAGTTGTCACTGACATTAACTCTTCAGAATTCACTCTTCCTTCTTCCTGCAATCCCCACCATCCCTTACTCTTCACCTCATTATTCTGTTTTTGTTTTCATTTTTTCACATATCTATAACGTTTACCGTTACTGAATACCTTGTCTGTTTGGTTACATGTGTCTTGTGATTGTTCTTCAGAGAGCAGAATCAAACCCCCTTCACTAATATCACCAAGTTGGTCTGGATGTCAAGAGTGGTAACACCATACATACACCAACAGGGTATGCAATGGCCACATGTTGGGAAAAGCAGGGCGATTCTGAATGGATTCAAAGAAGGGAGAGGTGAGTGGATGTTTGTTGTGGGTGGGGAGTGGGGCCTGGGTAAGTCTTCCTGTACACCACTGTGGCTTGAACACCCTTGCCAGTGCCAAGGAGGGGAGTGCCCAGGCTTTCTTATGGCTTGCCCAGATGTGAACAGAAGGGGAAATGGGACACTTGGGGCTTGAAAGTTGTCAGTAGTCAAACATCAAAAATGGAATCAGATTCTTAATTACAGTGTGTTTATTGTCTTTCTCCTCTAGAGTTTAAGTTTTTGAGAGCAGGGGCCTTATCAGCCTTGTCATCTCTATACTCTCCATATCTAAAACAGTGCCTAGCAAAAAATAAATTTAATAAGTATTTGTTGAAATAAACTCTAGGCAAAGTTGACAAGTTCTCCATAAAATTACTTCCTCAACAAAGACTTACGGAGCATCCACTATGTGCTAGGCATTTTATTAAATCTCCAGCATATCATGAATGACTACAATAGTCCTTGCCCTCCCAGAGCTCAAAATCTAATGCTACTCATAAGAAGGGGTGCTGAATGTCCTGCCAGGCGAAGGAAGGGCCTTGAAGACCAGTTTGGCAGGTGTGTTAGATATTCCCCATCAGAGTATAAAGGAAGGAGGGGAAAAGTTTGAGGAAAAGGTGACTAGAGAGATAGATCTCTGCCTTCATTCTTCAACAGCATTTATTGAGCACCTGTTATGTGCCAAATATTGTGTCAGGTCCTGGGGAAACTGTGTTTAGCAAAACAGTCTCTCATAATGCAACGGAGAAGACAGACCACAGAAGAACACACATTTAGTAGTCAGCAGCTTGTTGAAATCGTAGGAGATGATGAGATTGTCTTCTTGCATCTCAAGAATTTCACAATGTTGGTGATGTATTCCCAAGCAATTGAAACAGAGAAGCAGTGTTTTGTCAGTCTTCATAACACAATCTGGACCTAAACAATAGTCCTTTTGTGCTAGTGTTTGTGTATTTCCCTATTGTTTTCACTTTTTCTTTTTTGTTCTGTTTTTCATAGTGAAAAAAAATCAAGTTAAGGAAACAGAAAAAATTTCCTTAGTGGCAATGTTACCACATAGTTATTGTCACATTGTGACATAGTTATTGTCACATTGGCATTAACTGTGTGTGTGTGTCTTTCTCTCTCTCTCTCCCTCTGTCCGTCTTTCTCTCTCCTCTCCTCCCTCATCTTCTCTTCTCTGACTTCCATCCTTTTTTTTTTTTTAATGATTAAAATAAAAATTCTAGCTCTCTCTAATAAAAGGCTACGCTAGAATATATCATCTATTGTTTTAAGAGTTCCTAGATGGCATAAACGGAAGGAAGATGGGGCAATCTACTTCCGTAGAGATACTGCCTCGGAAACCCAAGGAGAGGTCGCTATGAGTTCGGTCCGACTTGACGGCACATAACAACAACAACAGATGGTATAAACAGTTCATACTCTAGGCTGCTAACCAAAAGGTTAAAGGTTCAAATTCACCCAGAGGCACCTTGGAAGAAAAGCCTGATGATCTACTTCAGAAAAATCAGCTATTGAAAACCCTATGGAGCACAGTTTCACTCTGACACACAGACTCGAAGGCAACCATTTTGTTTGTTTATTGTTGTTTTAGATAAAATCCTATGTGTCATTATCATTGTCCTTTGAAACAATGAGTAGCCAGTAGCTTCTCTCACTGAAAGTTTTCTTAGTTTTTAAATGAACTTCTAGGGAGCTCTGGTGGTATAGTGCCACCAGCCATTCCTTGGAAAGAAGACTAGGCAATTTACATCCATAGAGATACCGCCTCAGAAACCCAAGGAGGGGTTGCTATGAGTCGGAACTGACTCAACAGCAGTGAGTTTGGCTTTTTTTTTTTCCTTAAGAAATTAAATAGTCAGGTTTCCAATTATTGAGCTCATGGTACCACATACTTTGTCCTTACCTCCTTCCCCTTTATAGTAAGATATTTTCCCACCTCTCTGCTTGACAAATACTTACTCACTTTTCAGGTCTGAACCCTAGCCCACCTTCTTAGTCTGAGTTGAGTGTCCCTCCTGTATTTCCTATCATATCTTATTTGCACACTTGCCAGACTGTATTGTATTTGTGAACATGTCTATGTCCCCACTAGAGAAAGAGCTTCATGAGATGTGGAACCATTTCTATGCCATCTTTGGTTGTACCTCTAGCTCACCTTTGGTTGTATCTCTAGCTCCTAGCATAGTGCTTGGCATATAAAAGACACTCAGTATTTGTAGAATGAATGAACAAAGAATGAATGGGTAGTTGCAGTATGTAAATAAATAGATTACAGCTCACTTGTCTTATTATCTCTACCCTGATTCCCATCAGATTTTGTTATCCCTTGAACATGTTGGCACATATATATGTTAAGCAAGCAGAT